GGCTGGCGGCTTCGGCGCGGTTCAGGGACCCTGTCGGATGAGTCAGTGCAAAGACGAGTCACAGATAAGAGCAGAAACGCCGCGAGCTTTGGGGGAAAGGGTCACCCCGCAAGCGGTCCGCCAGGTGGAAAGACACGACAACCACGAAACACCATTTTTACCCAGCGCACTAGCAGATAGTTTTATTATGAAAATAATACATACTCATCTTCAGAAATTCAAACATTAATGGAGGATGTGATCATAGCAAACGAGCCCCCCCTCCCCCCAGCAGCAGCTGTGCACTCGCCCAGCCCGCCCCAGGCGCCTGTGGCTTCAGCCCCGTTTATTCAAACGCCAAGGGGAGCACATCACGCTGGCCTGCAGAAGGCTTCCCGCCTACCCTTGAATAGCCTTCTCTCTCTCGCATACAGGGCCGCCTCATTGTTTTTATTACATCCGCACCCAGCCATATGTTTTTTTATTGATTTTAGAGAGAGAGGAAGGGGGAGAGAGAGAAACTGATTGGTAGCCTCCTGTATGTACCCCGACTGGGGATGAAACCTGCAGCCTAGGTATGTGCCCTGACCAGGAATCGAACCCACAGTGTTTGAGTGCACAGGAAGGTGCTCCAGCCAACCGAGCCACCCATCCACCGCTGCCTCGTTCTTTTCCATGGCTATATAGTAGTCCACTGCATAGATACACTACAATTTAGCTAGTCCTTTATGTGGGAGTTTCGGGGAGCCAGGAGAGGGAAGGTATGTAAGAGTTTCTACTTACACTACTGAGTAGAAATTTTCCCATGAAGGGAATATCCTTGCTCACCCACCATTTGTAAAGTACCACGCTAGGCACTTTGATTCTTGCCCCATTTTGCAGATGAGGAACCTGTGACTTAGGTTGGGGAACATGCCCAAAGCGGCAGAGGCAGGGTTAGATTCCAGAGCAGAGTCCAGGAAAATCCACGTGTTGGATTCTGGGATGGAGGTCTCCCTGCCAGCACTGGCTGTGAAGAGGACCCTGTTCCAGTAGAGAGGTGCTTAGTTCTAGCAGTGCTGGCTTTGAATCCTGGCCCTGACAGTTACTGGGTGACCTTGACCAGTCCTTCACCTCTCTCATGAGCAGAATGAGGTCAAGGATACCTGCCCCTCACTGAGTTGTTGTGAAGATGAAATGAAAAATAAGTACCTGGCTTGTGGCAGGTACTCAGTGAATGAGAGCATTTTTAAAAATATGTTTTTATTGATTTTTAGAGAGAGAGAAAGGGAGAGGGAGAGACAGATAGAAACATCAATGATGAGAGAGTCATTGATCGCCTGCCTCTTGCACACCCCCGACTGGGAATCGAGCCCACAACCCGGGCCCTGACTGGGAATCAAACCACGACCTCTTGGCTCATAGGTCGAAGCTCAACCACTGAGCCATGCCCGGCCGGGCAATGAGAACATTTTTTTGCTGTGATTTCCACCTTAATTAGACCCCTGATCCCACTGTCCAACCCGGAAGTGACCTTGAGATCATCTAGCCTGGAGTTCCTCAGCTTCAGTCATTCCTGGACTTACGTGATTTTCATCATATTTCTGCCACATGTACTATTATTTGATCTGCACCGCTTGCTTTGTTATCGATTTTCTTTATATCAACCCTGTTTGTGGTTGAAGGAAACTCTCTGTTAGCACCGTAACTGAGAAGCCCAGAGTCCTTGCCATAATTAGAAAGTAGCCAAAAAATAAATACAAGGAAAGCAAACCAAATGCTGATATTAAACTCCAGCTTGAAGCCTGTTGGCTAGCAGAGGCACTAGGCCTGAATTTGTTCTTTCTCTGTTTAGAAGGGAGACTCAGTGGTTATTCTAACAAAAGACAGACTTCTGGCAACAAGCTGAGATTATGGGGTTTTTGCTCAGACTAAAAAGACAGGAAAAGGGCAGAACTCTATCACTAGTACCATGTGAGGTATTTAACAAGAAAGCACTGTGTTGAGTTGCTTTCCCTGTTACCAGTGGTGTGTATCCCAATCCACATGAGATGCAGCCACACATCCACGGCCTTCTCTTAGAGCATTCGGAGTATTAGGGGGTTACCTCCATGCTTCAGGCTGAGGTCTTCCTCCCAGGAGAGTTGGGGGGTTAGGGGGTGGGTGGAAGAAGAATCTTAACCCTAGACCCTCTGACAACAGGATTTCTAGAAGCTCAGGTCCTAGAGTCAGACCTGGTTTCGATTCTAAGTGTTGCCAGTTGCTTACCGTTTCATCTTGGCAAGTCCTAACTCTGAGCCTTAGTCTCCTCATCTGTAAAATGGGAATAAAGTCATCCACCTCAAAGAGTTATCATCAGGCTTAACTGAGCTCGCATTTGCCCCGGGCCTGGCACCCTGGAAGAGAGCTGTGATTAGATTGCTGTTGTCTGCGTTATTGCCTCCCCAGCCTGCAGGAATTCAAGCTCTGGGTAAAGAAGCTGCAGCCTGATAGAGGCAGCAATCTGCTACAAGCCCTGAGGAAAATCTTCGCTCTGAAGGGGCTGAATTCTCTGGTCACCATATTGGGAAGCTGGTAGGTGTCCTTTCCTAAGCCAGTAACAGACTACACGGAGGGGCCAGAGAACCAAACCACTGTTAGAAGAAAGAGCACCAAGCATGACTCCTGACACATGCTTGACAGAAGAACTATGTTCATGGGGCATCAGTCACAGGGCCAGCAGAGCAGACCAGGTCTGTGGTTCATTCCACCCTGCACCTTACACAGTGACCTGGGACCCAGGTGTTTGGTTAGACCCTGCAGATGTTCCCTAGAAAGTATCACTTTGCTCTGAAATGGCCCCATGCGGGGGTGCCCATTACCTTCCTCCGTCTTCCCCCAGCCCAGATCAGCCTGCTGAGATCCTGTCTGACTACATCCAGCAGTCCACCATGGGCAGGGGCCTCCACACCCACATTGTCACCTACAAATGCGAGGACCAGGTGCCGCTTGTAAGTACCCGAGACTTTCCGAGGTTTCCCTTGGATAGGCCATAGTGAGCGGGGCCAGCCTGTGAGATTCCCTGTGTGGACAGGCCCCAAACTGTGGGCCAGAACAGGTTCTCCTTATGCCTAGCTCTCCCTTTGGTTAGCTGGGGAGTGTTAGAGAGTTGGGAGGCCCTGTCAAGGAGAAAGCTTGTTGGAGTTTGGCTTTGCGCGAGTGAGGGTGACCCTGCGGCCATCCCCGCAGGCTGTCCTGAAGAACCTTGCGGAGGCTGTTGGGGGCCATTACCACTGCTACACCTCAGAGACAGAGGTAGGCTCCCCCCCCCCTCCTGGCTGCTCTCCTCCCTGCCTGCTGCTGTTGTGCCGGGGGGATCTGGGCCAGGACAGACCATGCTGTGTACTTGCTTCCCCGCCTTCCCCAAGCTCAATGGGCTTACACAGGTATAATCAGGTTAAAATGAACGTGTGGGAAGAACAGGGACATGGAGTCACAAGAGATCCTTTTGTCAGCATGTATGATGAGCTGTTTGCATGCCTATGAGGATGGAGGCCTTTTAAAGCCAAGTGGGTAGAATCCTGAGTCTTTTCAGATGCCATCCATGTGGGCCCCATCAAAACTCTGAGTCTGAGTGGCCTCAGTTCTCTCTCCTAGACAGACCCCTGCTCCTGCAGGGGACCCACAGCGATCCGTTCTGTGCCAGTCCATCCACAGTGCCCTTGTCCCAGTTCATAACATCACATACCCCGCGTCCACAGTGGAGGCAACAGCGAATGTATGTGTAAGTCAATTTGGCAGATCGAGACGCCAACCATTCCCTCAGCTCACAGGCAGTGTATTGCCTGCTGGCGGTTAATAGCCACGAGGAAACGAATAGCTGCCTCTCACAAGTACGTTCAGGGGTCACAAAATGTAGCATGTCACACGGGGGAGCCAACATCAGGAAACATTTCTTTTCAGTAACATCCTTCTTGTTACCTCATTGCCCAGATTCTGTTTGTAGGGGTTGCAGGCTACGGGGGCTAGAAAAATCCAGTAAATAAATAAAACTGGCTGATTTAAGAGATATTTCATTTAAAACCTGTGCCCCTCTTGGCTTATGTGTTGTTTTTCCACTCTTGATGGAGATATGAGGTACAACAAATTTCATTGTCTTCTTTAATATGAGCAACACAACTGCAAGAATGACAAAAAATGATAACTGACTCTGGTGGGGGCAACAGAGAGTGGTGGGGACTGTGGTGAACTAGACAGCACCTGCCCATCTGAAGAGGCGCCCTGCTCAGCCCCACAGGCACTGCTCTGCAGGAATGCGGCCTGTGGTGCCAGGTCCTTCGAGTTTTTCAAGAAGAACCAGAAATCTGGATTATTTTATGTGTGTTATTTTTTCATTAAAAAAAAAAATGAGGTGAAATTCACATAGCATAAAGTTAACCACTTTAAAGTGCACAACTAGAGGTATTTATACAGTCAAGGTGGTTAAGCCACCACCTCTATGTAGATCCAGAACACACTCATCACCCGAAAGGACAGCTCCTGGTATCCCCTCATCTGCCTTCTGACTCTGTGGATTTATTTAGCCCGGACATTTCATTTAAGTGGAATAAGATACCTTTTGTGTCTGGCTTCTTTCACTTAGGGTGATGTTTTCAAGGTCCATCTATGTTGTAGCAGGTATCAGTACTTTATTCCTTTTTGTGGTGATAATGTTCCATTTCCTGGATATGCTAACCCTTCCTCTGTCCATTCATCAGGTGATGGACGTTTGGGCTGTTTCCACCTTTCGGCTATTGTGAGCTGCCATGAATATTAGTTTACAAGTACCCCAGTCCCCGTCCTCCAGCATTTGAGGTGTATACCTAGGAGGGCAATGCTCAGTCATAGAGTGATTCTGTTTAATTTTTTCAGGAGCCACCAAACTGTTTTCCACAGCAGCTGCACCCTTTTACGTTCCCACCAGCAGTGCACAAGAGTTTCGGTTCTCCACATTCTGGCCAACATTTATTATAGTTCTTTCAAAATTATTATTATTATTGTAGGCCTGCTAGAGGGTCTCAAGTGTTTCTTCACATTTTTAAGGTTGGACAACCCTTCACTTGTTTAAAAACACTGCAGGCCAGTGCTGTACAAAAGACCACTGCATTTGAGAGCTCTGTCTGGTATGCTGACCCCCTAGGCAGTCAGGTTCAAACAGTCTGCCACTCGGCTCAAGGACTTGACGTGCCACTTGCCTCTCTTTCCTTGGCTACTGCTGGTGGCTGGGTGGCCTCTGGATGGCTGACTGCTCCTAACACCCCCAGATCTGTGCCAGCCCCGAGGTCCAGGAACTGTTGGCGGAGATGCAGAAGGCCCAGAGCCTCCTGAGCCACGTCCAAGTCCTGCGCCGTAGTGCCCCTTGTGAGGAGCTCACAGGTGTGATGAAAGAGGTAGGTGAGAGGGACAATTCTCGGACCTACTCCAGAAGGCACTCAGCTGGCCTCACTCCGTTCTTCCTCACCTGTATGTCAGAGGGCAGGGCTGTTGAGCTCCCATGTCCTGGAAGGGAGAGACGGGCTGGGTGCGCTCAATGGGCCTCCCACTGCCCCAGAAGGTCCTGGTGGGTCTTCAAACTGAAAAATGTATTTCAGGGAAAGTCCAGCAGGCTCCTGTCTCCCCTTCCATCTCCTTCTCCTCCCAATCTGGAGAGTAATGAAGCCTCAACCACACAGAGTAGGCCATCTAGGAGGTGGTCTTTCACCCCAGCCCTCACTCAGGGCCAGCCCCTGCTCAGCGACAGTTCATCTGTCATGGGCAGGGAGCTCAAGCACCCTAGAAGCTCTAGGCTGTTTAGACGGCACAGTGGACTTGGCTGTGGACAAAGAGCGCTGGGAGGCATTCGTCCTGGCTGGTTGCAGTGAGAGGCACAGCACCTGGGCGGGGGCTTCAGCTGCAGTCCCGCTCTTCCACCGGTTGTGCTTGTGCGTAACCACGATGCATTCGCGTTATAATCACAGCGCTCACTTGCTGAGCGCACAATGTAAGGGGCACAGTGCTTGCTTCTCTAAACGCCTTATTTTATCCCTGCAACAACAGTATATCAGGTAGGTATGTGATCAACCCCATCTTACAGATGAGCAAACTGAAGTCACCAGGTTAAACAGTGAGCTCAGGATCACAGAGAGAGAAGCGCAGAGTCTGACGGAACCCAGGTCTGCCAGTGCCAGACTCTCGTTAGGAATTTCCCAAAGTGAAATGCACGTGCACGTGGGGTTTGCAAGATGACTGTAGGGCGATCCATGGATTAATACTTTTTATGTTATATATTTAAAACTAGCTCATTATGGTAGTAATAGATCTTTCTATTAAAATTATTTAAATATGAAAAAGTTATTTAAATACAAAAAAGGAGTCTGTTTTCAAAAGTAAATAAAATTGAATAGAAAAAAAGCTTTAATGCCGTATGTTTGATTTAAAAATAAACTGAGTACATAATAGTACAATGGTATTCAGATATAGCAAAATTCATGAAAATGGTGCTCAGATGTCCAAAGTTTGGGAATTGTGGTTCTACATTTCACTTCTTCGTGAGCTGTGTGATTTAACCTCTCAGAACCTCAGGTTTTCAGTTTATAAATGTGGGCAGGGAAGGCTGGGCTAGATCAGAGCTCCCGACATGTTTTGGTGTAGGGATACTTTTTAGTTTCCTGAAGCCTGATGTTATGCACCCACTGAGAGGCCACCTGTCATCTGGAGGCCAGTGTTCCGATCCTAATGTTAAGAGTGGGGACAGGGCCAGGAAGGTGAGCAAATGAAAAAGGAAGTGAGTTGCTGGATGCATCTTTCTCCTCCCCTGGAAATAACAGAAATCTCCAGAAAGGGGCAATAAATTAAATCTTTAAGATTCTCCCCTTGGGGGAACTGGGTAGGTGGGGGAGACTGAGGACTTTGCAGCTCTAAAATATGGTTATGTAATGAAAATTTTAAATTTTAATTCAGATTTCCACAGAGATTGCAAAAGGGCCGCTCAGAGGTCTCCTGCCTAAATCCCCAAAGCACGAAGCTCCCCTCACAATTGAGTTCCCAAACTTGGACAAGACTTCTGCAGAATGGCTGAAGGTCAACGGCCTGAAAGGTAAATCCCCACAGAGGGCAGAAGCGGGACTCAGGTCACTGACTGCCCTCTGGGACTTCACGAGCGGTGCCTCAAACCCCACCATTTATTTTTACAGCCAAGAAGCTAAGCCTTTATCAGGTCCTGGCACCCAACACATACTCTCCCATCAAGGAATTTGTGCCTATTCTCCAGAAAACAGTATCATCCACTATCCACGAGGTGACTCAGACTCAGACTCTCTCCATCCCGTGCAGGGGAACTCCTTTGTGGCATTTCCCTTCTTAAATGTTCAGAAAATAAGAGTCCTAAAGCAGAGCCCGAGGAGCGTGGGCCTGAGGGCCGAGTGCGATGCAGGCTCTCCACTCATCTGAAGATGAAACCTGGGGGATGGGGCAAGAGGGAGTAAACTGGGCACCGCAGTCACCTCCATTGTGAAGGTTTCCCTCCACCCCACGCAGAACACACTCACCCTGTGTGTCCTTGCTGCACCTGGCACAGACTTCTGCCGTAGCTCCTGGAACGTGTCAATGTGTGTATTTGTTACATGTGCAAATCTCACCAGAGCACCAGCCCTTTAAAAGGAAAAGCTCTGTATCCCCAATACGTAGTACAAGTCTGCAGTCAATGAATGTTTACTGGACAAGTGAGTGGGTGGAAAGAAGGAAACGATGGATGGATGGATGGATGGATGGATGGATGGATGGATGGATGGATGGATGGATGGATGAGTAGATAGATGAAAATGTTGATCAATGCACGGAAACATAGGCGGATGGGTGGATGAATGGAGGAAGGAAGGAAATGTGAACAGAGGGAGGGAGAAGTGGAAGGAATGATGAATGGAGAGATGAGTGGCAAGATGGACGAGTAAAGGGAAGAGAGGTGGGTGACTCGAGCAGTGGACGGCCGGATGAGCAGGTGGACGGCGTGATGGCTGGAGATACAAGTATGACAGCTTGGTGGAGAATGAAAGAACAAGGCGAACCAATTTGATTTTCAGTGTTCATGAAGGCCTCCCTGGGTTCCCCAACCGAAGAACCCATGGCCAGTATGTTTTCAAGGTCTCTGACTCTGTTATCACCAAAATTTCCAACCAGATTTTGTAATAAAGACCCCAGGTGCAGAAGAGCCTCCCAAACGGCAGCCTGACTTGCCGTCAGGGACGGTCCGTTCGGGACCACTGTCCTGCGGGCCCTCTGCTGCCAGCTCCAGACAAGGCAGTGACCTGGTGGGGCGGGGGTGGGGGACATAATCTGACCCCAGATGTGGTCAGAGTCGCAATGCCCAAATTAAACTTAGAATTCTTCCCGCCGGTGTGCGTCCACTGACCTGCGCCCCTCCTGGCCTCGCCTGCGTGCAGAAGGCAATGATACCGTTCCAGTGGCACGATGGGACCGTAAGGAATGTTCACGTGGACCTGCCCTTCCTCTACGAGTACCAGGTCAGCAGCGGGTCCAGCCAGTCGGAATGTGGGGTGCGGGAAGGGGGAATGGGAGGAAGGCACCGAGTGATGTGGAGATGCCAAGCCACTGACCGAATTCTCTCTTGTAAACAGAGACTGTGCTCCACCCACAGGCACCTCTGGAGCTTTCTCCACCCCATCCATCCCCAGGCAGAGACCTGAATGCCTCAAACAAAAGCCCATAGTAATATTTTTTTTAAAAACCCTCTAATCCTTTGAGACAAGGTCTACCTCCTCCCCAATATGGGGCAATAAAATACTTTGACTTTTCTCTTCATGGTCTGATGGCAGATTTGTCCATGATTTAGTGGAATGTTTCTACGCACGGCCTTGACACACCATTCCCAGAAGCCAACTGGGGTACACCCGTTTCCTCTCAGACCCCTTAATCGGCCACGCTGTGTGCAGTTGCTCACCCTGTGTGGCCCATGGGTTTGCAGAAACAGCTCAGCAGAGCTATTCGGACGTACGAGAGGCGGATTGAGTGGCTCTCGTTGGCCAGCAGAAGGATCTGGGGCACCGTCTGCGAAAAAAGGTACCTTCCCCTAAGTAGTGTTCTTGTCCTGCATGGGTTTGGTGTGTGACAGAGCACTTACCCAACTCCTGGATTCCCTGTTTTGGTAGCATCAGAAGCCATCACTTAGGCTAAGGACCAGCAAGTCAGTCAGCAGAACCCCTGGAGGAAAAAGGCACCAGCATCATCATCAATGTCAATAATGTTATCATTGTGTTACTCAGGATTCTCTCAGTTAAGAAGCAACAGGAACTAAGTGCAAATTGTCTTAAACAAAACAGTGAAGTCTGGTTAAGGTACCTGAGAATTGCAGAGTAGATCTGCTAGCTGTCTTCAGGCCTGGCTCGATCCAGAGCTTCATGTATGTCAGGAATCTACCTCCACCTCTCATCTCTGCTTTCTTCTCTGATGGCTTTGTTTTCAGGCAGGCTTTCCCCTCCAGGTGGCTCCCAACTTACTTTTTACCAGTTTTAGTATTCCCAGGGCTTGGGGCAAGGGCCCATCCATGAACTCTTCACCCTGCCAGGGTGGCATCATATTCTGATTCCCTAGGGTAAATGCCCACTCTCAAAGCTTGGGGTAGGGTCAGCTCTACCCACAATAAATGGACTGATAGAGGCAGAGGTGTGTCCCAAAGGAAAATCAGGATGCTGTTGCCAGAAGAAGTAATGGATGCTGAGTAGGGAGAGACGGTGGGTATTCATTATAACCATTATTATCACCCCATACCTTATTTGATGTGTTACTTTTACAAAATAGTGTACTTTGTAATACTATAATAATTAAAGTATTATATCCTTTAATTATTAATGCAGCCCTATGAGGAGTCTTATTATAAACACCGTAGTTTATAGTAAGCATTCCAAGGATCAGAGAGGTTTTGTGACTTGCCTAAGGCCACTCAGGAAGTGGGACTTGAACCAAGGTCTTCTGATTCTAAATTCCGTAGATTTTCTTTTGCTGTCTATAGATGTCTCAAAATGAGAACAGAGGGAGGGGGGTGGGAATATAAGGTTTGAAATAGGGGAAGGAGAAAACTGAATGGGGCTAGAGATCTTAAAACAGAGAAAGGAAACAAAAAGATACAAGCATTTCCCCAGAGGCCCAGACACAGGAAATTCCACATCTAACTTGCTTACCATGTTTCTGTTTTTCCTTCAAAGACCCCAGCCTATAATAATTCTGGATGCTAGGACTTTAAAACAAGGAAAGATACGAAAATCATTATATGCGGCCTCTGCCCCTTAAACCATCTTTACCATGAGACTTTGTTCCATGACATGACCTGAGAGAGAAGGTTCCACGACCCCCTAAGTCTACTGTGGTAAACTCACCTCCGTTGACCTCAAACCACAGAGAAAAATTTGGCCAGCTGTGGATCTGGCATGCAAAGTTGCCCTGGAAAACACTTTAAATAGTAAAATGGAACAAAATGAACACTATCTGGGAGATTCGGTTCTCCACCTAAAGCTTGTGTTTCTGTTGAGGGTGGTTATACTGCTCGATATCTCTGCGACCAATTCCACGTACATTATTCATATCCAGCACTCCCTGCGACTTCTGCTGGAGGAGCAACTGTCCAACAAGGATGCCTTCAACCTTGTCGCGTAAGCTCTGGATCCCGGGTCCCGGTGGGGAGGTCGGAGTGCTGGGCCTCTCCGCTGGGCTGAGGCTTCGGGCAGGGCTGTGCGACAGATGTTCTGAGCGCCCAGCGTCCTGGGACGGTGTCTGTTTATCTGATTCGAATGATCGGGTTTGGGGCATTGAATAATTAAACAGCTGCAGAACAGTCCCACTGGGGAGAAGGTAATAAGCAGCCCCAAAACACTCTGCTCCATCAGCCGGAATAAAATAACCCCGCCCATTGCCCCATTTGGCTTCCAAGCTGGTAAACACAGGCGAGAAAAAGCAGGGCCCCAGGCGTGCCCTGTCTTAGTTCCTAAGTTGGGTTTGGCAAGGCACAATATTTCATTTAGGATTCTATTTCTAAATTTTAATTTTATGTGTAGCTATATATAATTAAGTTATATAGGTATAACTATATAAAAGTATATATATTTAAATTATATAATTTATATCTAAAATTAAAATATAGATAAAATTTTTAATATTTTATATATAGTTAACTATATATTTTTAATTATGTAACTATTTAAATTATATGCTATATAGTCATATGTAATCTAAATATGTATAGTTCTGTATAATTTAAATATATACATAGTTTTATAAATATTTTTAATTTCATCCATTTTAACTAATTAAGTAGGAACCCACTTAAACTATACATTTTTACACAAATTCACACCTAATAGGGAGTGTTCTAAACCTATTAAGTCAGCAGTTAACATTATATATTATTCTGTACCACAGCCTAATTTTTTCCTAATAAATTCCAAGAAAAAAATGCTTAGAGAAACATTTTAGGCAACATTTCCATTCATTTATCCATTTATTCATCCACCGTTCAACAAACTTTTACCGAAAGCCTGCCCTGTACCCGTCGCTGCTGGGCATTCGGCACGCGGGCATTAAACCACGAGCTTGTGGCTCAGTGGAGACTGGCGTCGCAAGGTCTCAGCGGACACTGGCCTGATGAGGCCGAGTCCAGGTGGAGGAATCAACGTGAGCCACAGAGAAGTCGCCTGTTCTTTGATGAAGGGGATGGGTCCTCTTCTCAGGGACTTAAATTCTGTCTCATAGGCTGACATGATGCATATTAAAGAACAGACTATGGTTCGGACAGAGGGTGGAACCGTGTCGTGAGTGTGAATCAGTGCTAGGGAGGTTAAGAAGGGAGAGAGGACTCCCTTCCCGGGGGGTGGGGGTTCACTCAGCCAAAGCCCGGCAGGAGGGAAGTCTGGCCAGAGCTGCTCCTGGCTCTGCCTCGACTGAGAGCCCAGCTCTGCCTGCACCGCGACTGTCCTGGGGCAGGTCATGACCAGCAAGGAGATCTCGGCTGGCCCAGGCCAATGACACCCCAACATTTTGGAGGTGTAATCAGGATTTTGGCCTCGTTAGAAGAGGCCAAAGACCTGGGGCACGGAGTGGACCAAGCTCCTGCCTAAGAACAAGCCCTCTTTCCTCCCCTCCAAGGTTTGGAAGCACAGTCGAAAGCTGGAGGCCCGAGATGGTGCCCATGAGCCACGACAACTTACAAAGCGCCTGGCAGTAGGTGACGGGCAGAGGCTGTGCCTGCCGTGTCGGAGGGCAGCCTGGGTGGGGTCGTTTTCTCCGCCCCCCTCTCCACTGGGAAGGGGGATCCCTGCCCTCCAACAGACATGGGCATGAACCTGGAAACCTCTGCCTCTGCTCCTGGTCTCGCCAGGTGGGCCCTGAGCCTGCAGTGTCAGGGCAGCAGGAACGTCCTCGGTGCCCTGCGGAAGGCAGTGGAAGTGGACTTCAAAGACAAAGACAAGCAGCAATCACAGGGCATCTACCTCTTCACGGGGGGCATCCCTGACCAGGACACGGTAGGGGTTCCCCGTCCTGGGCATCCCAGTTCTTCACGACCCCCCCCTTCCTGTAGACAGACGCCTCTCCGCTCTTTCTCCAGCATGGTTTCCCAGACTCGGCTTAATGTGCAGCCTAGGACTCACCTGGGGGTGCGGTTCACATGCAGATCCCGGTTCCAGGTGGGGCCTGGGGCCTGAGCGTCTGCATTTCTAACAAGCTCCCAGGTCATAACCAGGCTCCCGGGTCCAGCTCCCCGGCCAGACCCTAGTGAGATAGAGAAATTGTGACCCAGCTCATTCATCCTTCTACCCTCAGCGCCAAGTGCTAGACCCGGCACACAGTAGGCCCTCCAGAGAGATGATCAGGCTGAACTGACCTGACCTGAGGCCAGCAGCTTCAAGAGCCCTCGGCCCTGTCTCCCCACAGCCCACGCTCAGCGCCTACATGGCTGAGGCCTGTGGGGGCTGCGACCTCCAGCTGAACGTGTGTCTCTTCTACGTGAGTGAGCCACGGATGGACACCACGCCCCCTGCCTGCTATGCCAGCCGCGCCGACACGGCCGCTGCCTACCGAGAGGTCGCCCGGGCGGCCGGTGGCCGCTTCCACTGGTTTGGAGACACGGGTGCGTGAGTGTTGGCTGGCTCCTCCACCTCTTGCTTCCTGGGCATCTCAGCACCAGCCTTCCCCTGTGCCATGGGTGTATTCCAGGAAAGCGCGTGTGAAAGTCACATAGGGAAGTGGGCAGCCGCTGTCCACAGTCAGTGCGCACTCGCGGGGGGCGCAGCGGTGGGCATGCCCCGCGCAGCAGGGTTGCTGCCCCTGTGCTTGAAAACAGTTAAAATGGTACATTTGAGGTTACATATGTTTTACCATAACTTTTTAAGTAAAAAAAAAAAAAGTAAAATTATTTTTAAATACTTCAGAATGTCGGAGCTGGAAGGGACACTGAAGGCCTCTGAGCTTAGATCTCCCAAAGGGGGCTGTTCACACAGGTGGGCGACAAGGCAGTTGTACATGGAACACAGGGCAACACCTGTTTTTATTGTGATAGTTGTAGGGGATCAGAATATGCCATCCCAAAATATGCCACTTGGGCATAAGAATTATTGTGAGCTGATGCCGCAAAAGCTCTCTTCCCCTCCCCCACATTCCCTAAATGTCGGACACAGGCAGTGAGTGGGTTCCACCAGGAGCCGCACCCAGGCAGGCCAACTTCGGAGCCTGTCTCCTTAGTCATTACACTTTAGTTCCTCTCGAACTAGTCATCAGTATTCACTGCAGACATTAGCCGCTTTCCATAATCCCAGGGTGGGTGATTTCACTCACTGCAGGACCAGAACCCTTGCTCCTAACCTACTCTCCCGTGGGTGCAAGCTCTAGTCTGGGTGCCAGGGTGCTGGGTCCCGTGGGCATCCCCACTGTTGGTAACCTCACTGTAACTACCACTGGGCTGTATCAGCATGGGGGCTGGTCAGCTCAGCCCACTAAGACCCCACCCTGCCCCGCCAGCTCAGATCACCTCCACACAGCCCTGCTGTGCACACATGTGGACCCTTGGGGGTATCTGCACCCCTCCCCCACACTCAGGATGGGCTTTGTTTCCAGGCATTTACGAAAGTGATGACATCAACGCCATCCTGTCTGAGCTGGAAAAGGCTCTCAACTACTCCCAAAAGGTATGTCTTAGCGGCGAGGCAGATGACTGCTCTGGCTTCTGTGTTATTTCTGGGACTGCCATACAGAGTCCCACGAGCTAGGTGGCTTGAAACAACGGGCATGTGCTGTTTCACTGTTCCAGAGGCTAGAAGTCTGAAATCGAGGTGTCAGAAGGGCCACGTTCCCTCTGAAGACTCTGAGTAGAATCCCTCGGTTGCAGCTGGTGTTAGAGAAAAAAACATTGCACCGGCTGCTTGTTAAAATTTCAAGGAAGGCTTTGTGCAAGATCATTGCAATAAGGGAGAGGAAATGAACTCAACTCCAGACACAGCAAAGACAGCAGGAGATGTTTAGCCAATGAGCAGAGTGAGAGTCATGGATGGGAATTACTAAGAAAAACTTGGTCAGCTGCCAAGGCTAGGGGCATCCTTGCTAAACGGACTCAGCGGGATGCTTGCAGAAGGCAGGTCACGGACTGAGACATCAGGGTGGGTGATGAAGAAGTTGATCAAATATCAAGGGCGGGGGGAGAATCCTAACTTAGCAGGATTCTTTCTAACACTGGGTTTAGCCTAGTTGACGCCTAGTTGAGAAGAGGGCTCAGAGGGGCCTGACTAAAGTTGGGCCAAGGAGGGTGTCCTTGTCAACTGACAATTCTTAGCATTCCTCGGCTTCTGGCAGCACTGCTCAATCTCTGTCTCCATAGTCACATAGCTGTCCTCCCTCTATGTGTCTCTGTCCCTTTTCCTCCTGTGGTGATACCAGTCATATTAGATTAGGGGCCCACCCTTCTCCAGCACAGCCTCATTAACTAGCATCTTAATTACATCTATAGAGACCCTATTCCAAGTAAGGTCACAGTCACGGGAACCAGGGGTTCAGCCTTCGGCGTATCTTTTGGGTGACATGACTCATCCCACGTCAGCTTCCCTCCTCACGTCCCGATCCACTGACCCCCAAGGCTTCAGCCGAAACACAAGGGTCTCCTGTAAGTCACTGGGTTTAGGTCTGTGAGCTGTACGTTCTGGCCTCTGAGTTCCTTGAACACACCCAGCTCACCCTAGACTGGGGGCCTTGGCACCTGCCGTGTGCTCTATCTGTCATCCCACCCAGATCTCTCCCTGTTGTTCAAGACTCACCGAAATGTAACTTCCTCAGAGAAGGGAGATGAGCAGTTCAAGGTGAGACTCAGAGGCAGAGAGGGGCAAGATCTTGTCAGTAGCAATGATAATGGAAATAAGGGAATACACGTGAGAACATTTGGGGATGAACTGACCAAACTTGTGGCTGACTGTATGGGGTGAGGCAGAAGAAATCCCACGTTTCTCACTGGGGGGCATGGTTGACAGTGGTGCCTTGACCAAGAGACAGAGAACAGGAGGAAGAAGCGAGGTTGGTGCTGGGAGGGTGGCCTGGGACAGAGGTGAGTTTGTGGGCCTGTGGATAACAAGTGGAGGTGTCCTTCAGACAGGTGGGGAAAGAAGGCTGGGGCGGTTCAAGCCATGGGGGTGGACAGAGCAGGCAGGCGGCATGGTCAGGCCGCGGAGACTTTAACTACTGCCATCGCGGAAAAGCACGTCGTGAGCTCCTGGGGGCAGGGCCGCCGCCTCACGCCCTTTTCCTCCCTGTCGGTTGGATCAGCTCCCCTCCTGTGCCTCCCTGAAAGGGCCCCTCTTTGTTGCTTTTTTAAAAACCCCTTCTCTTCAGGTCCCTCCTCTGATAAAGCCATCCACAAGGTCTTCCAGGGCAATAATGGTTTAACCCACCCTTCCTAGGGTGTCATTTGCATTCCAATGGTATCTCCTAGTGCTTCAGTTGAAATAATTACTGGGGAACCTTGCAGGCAGTTGAGAAATGTGTGGGCAAAGCAACCAAGTATGACACACTGTTCTGCCAGCCTCCAGAGTTAGCCCCGGGCAGGCCGTGAGCTGAGCAGCAGATGCAGATGCCGGTCCACTTGTGGAAAAGCACTGGCTCTGGAGCCGTACCCACCTGGGTTTGAATGGAAGGTCCTCTATATACTAGTAGTGTGGCCTTGGGCAAGTCCCTTAAACTCCTGGAGCTTTGGTTTCCTCATTTGTGAAATGGGGATAAGAGAGCACTTGCCCGGCCTGATTTGAGGGTCTGAGATGCTCAGGCTTTCACTGGCCCAGGGCCCGCTGCATCCCAAGCCCTCCACACATGGTACCTATTATTAACAGGATTGGCCCACGGGTCTGTGCCCCAGGACGCATTCTAGGGACAGAAACAGGAGTCCAGGATCTTAGTAGATGGAGTCTCTTGTGTGTGTGAGTGTGTGTGTGTGTGTGTGTGTGTGTCCCCTGCTGTGGCTGGGGTGCTGTAACCCCCAACCCCTGTTTCAGTGTGCCTTACTAGTGTCCTCTCTGAAGAACCAGTCCAGAAAAGACCTGGAAAATGCAGCCCTCTCAAAAGAAAAGCCAAAGATGCTCAAGCAAAGAAGTCAGCCCAAGAAACTCTGTCCTTCCCAGCCCACAGCCCCCTCGGTGGCCAGAATGGTTTGACTCCCTCCCTAATAACATGCAGGATGTTGTTTCCATGTGTCTCCTGGTCTTTTGTAGATCTTGCAGTGCCCTGGGCCAGGCCCCGGGCCCCAGAACCCAGGGCCAGGGGGCATGGGGCAGGGTCCTCAGTGAGGAGTGTCCTGTGGGTGCCTCCAGCCCTGGCCTCTAGGGGGAGGAACTGCACTGGCAGACCTGCTTTCAGCTCTGGGGGGTACCTCTGGCCTCTTCCCCAACCTTTGGCTCTGCCTGGCTATCCCAGGTTTGACCCTTGTCTGGGTCCTAAGGACCCCGTGGATTGAAACCCACCATGGCCGTGAGGCGGGAGAGCTTATCCTGGAAGGTCTCTCAGGGACAAAGGAATGAGCTATTAGGGTGTCTGCTGGGCTCTTGCTGCAGCTTCCCAAGGTTGGCAGGGGCGGGATACGGGCCGGAGGGTGGCCCTGGGGTGTTTCTCTCCAATCACAACCTATCAAATCTGTCCGGCATAAAATACCCACCTCAGCAACTAGAAGGAGCCTCTAGAGGTCTGACTGGGGAGATCCCAGACTCCACAGTGCTTGTGAGCAGAAGGGGCCAGGAACTCCGTCAGCAGCTCGGCGTCTCACTGACCCGCAGGCCCTTGTTCACAGCCCGTTCCAGAGTGAGGACATTCGCCCCAGCCAGCGGGTGGCCCCCCGTCCTGGGGCAGAGGTCTGGGAGAGTGTATGCACAGGCATGGCTCTCCTCAAGGAGCTCCACCAGGTTTCAGGAGCCTTCCCAAATCCTGAGGGGAAACCTCATAATTCCAGGGTCTGCCTCTTGGGCCTTCAGTGCTGCCTGAACTGACTCAGTGTGAGGGGCCTAGGCTGCTCTAGGGCCACTTAACGGGCCTCCCGAAACCAGAGCTGGGGGCCCCTGGAGGGGCAGTGCCAGGCCTTTTGAACAGAGCTCACCAGAGGTCTCAGCTGGGCCAGGGCCCTGGGTGACTTTAACTATCGCCACCTTCCAGCTGTGTCCAGTGATGAACGGACCCGCCTCCCCTCAAAACGGAGGTGCCCGATTGATTACCTGAACGGCTGCCTGTTGGGCTGCCTGTAGGGCCAGAGGCCCAGCAGGAAGACGGGTGGGTGGCTGGTGAAGAAAGTCCTGGCAAGTCCATACACATGTACCTTTTCACCTCAAAAGCCAGAGTCCCCTCTGAGTCTACCGCAGGAGATGGGGCAGAAATGTCTGAGGAATCTAGTCCCTTAGGCTCCTCCTTGCAAAGCTCCTAATCAACAGATGAGGCTGGGATGATGGGGCGGGGGGGCCTGCTGACAGGCCCCTGACGGGAAAGACTGCCTGTTTTCAGAGCCTTAGAGACGACCCTGCCAGAGAGAGCAGTGCCCCCGCGAGAGCTGTGAGGCGGCCTCCACTCGGTAGCAGAGCGAGCACCTCACCAGGTGAGGCCTGGGGGCAGGGCTGGGGGCAGCGGGTGTGGCCGAGACATGTTGATAATGACAGGAGCCAAAAAGATCCATGAGTCTTGATCATGGGCCAGCCCTTCTGCTAAGGCTGTCCCATGTAAAGGTTATAACAATCAGTTCTACGTGGCAGGTAGCCTGTGAGCTCCCCCTTTTACTGATGAAGAAATTCAGGCACAGAGGGGCTAAGAATAGTGACAGTGCCAGCTGGTTGTGGCAGGCATGGGTGTGTTTATGAAAGGACTCAGCTCCCAGAACCTAAGAGCATGTATCTCACTTCCCACATCAAAAACATAGCGGAGTGGCTCAGAGCAGGGTCCTGGAATCCGTGGGACCTGGGTGGAACCTTTGCTCTTCTTACCGCTGCTATGAACTGGGAGCAGCGAGGATGAAGGGAGATGGGGTACGGGGTACTCAGCCTAGCCCATGGGCCTCGTGTCCTCTAGCTGCAGCCCAGTCGGGCCAGGAGGACCCTGTAGCACCCAGGAGGAAGGCCGGAGCGAGGGAGGCAGAGACAGGGAATGACGCGGGTAAGTGGGAGGACGTGGGAGTCTGGGAGCCCCCTTGCCCTGTGGGAACTGTAAGGTCAGCAGCCCCGTGGCGGGGAGACCCCTTCCGCTCTTCCGGACGTGGGCAGCGGTGCCTGCGGACCAGGCCTGTCCTCACGCACTCAGGCCCCAGCCAGGGAAGTGGATGGGCAGTCCTGACCCCGGTGAGAGAATGAGAGTCAGCGCTGGAGGTGCCCCAGGTCCCCGGGGGCAGCACTCCCACTCTGTCCTGGGGGGGGAGGGGGGCCTCTGCCCGGCTGGCTGGGAAGGGGGCGGAAATGAATGCCCCCGGCCAGCCCAACTGCTGCGAAATGGTGCCAAACGGTGCGGATCCCAGGAACCTTTCACCGAGGTGGGAGAAGAGAGGCCCCAGCAGGTCTGCCCCACCTGCCTTATAGCCTCGCCTTCCGCCTCTCAGCAAATCCCGCCTAAGGAATTTTCCCTGACTTGATAGACAGAGAAACCGACATGAAAAGGAAGCGGGGGTGCACAAGGTAATCTTACTCTTTCTCCCAGGCTCAGGGTACAGGAAGCACCCTCAAGGAAGGGGCGCAAGAAGGACTTGCTCTTCCATGGTGTTGCCCAGAAAGGATACAATCTGCTCAAGCCAAGAGGTAATGAGTTGTCGGCACCAGCACATGTCCCCCTAGGCAATAATTCCTCTGCCAGCCTCTGCTTGGG